ACTGAAAAACTGCACTTACGCCCTTTCGGTTCAAAAAAAATGGGTTCCCGGTCGAAATTCGAGGTAAACTTTATTATGGGGGTTCATCAAGGGTCGCTCTACCGGAATCTGCAAAAAAACGTTTTGTTATAATTTCCGTAAGGTTCAGGCGGTATTTTCATTTCGTTGACTGGACTATCGGCGCGATGCGACGACGACCCGACGCCACTCCTCACTTTCGGTTTTCGTTCATGGTTAGCGGCATGAGCGAGAGCGCGTCGCCGAGTCCGAGTCGCCGGCCCGAACCGAACCGGCGGCCCCCCACCGCCGTCGCCACCCCTGCCACCCCCTTCTTCTCCCCGCGCGGCTCGGCTCGGCCCGGCTGCAGGGACCGCTCCCTCCTCTCCTCTCTCCTCCTCACTCCGTGGCTCGCGCCTCGCCCCGCCGCACCGCCTCCGCCCCGCCCCGCAGAGCCGGGAGCCGGCTCGGTGCTCGGCTCGGCTCTCGGCCTCGGCTCACGGCTCAGCGCTCAGCTCAGTCAGTGCTCAGTCGCCAGCGAGAGGCGAGAGGTGGCGAGGGAAGGCTGTGTTGCGCGGGAGCTGTCCTGTCCTGTCGGGGGCGCGACGTGCGAGAGCGACCGAGCGCCGGCACTTACCATATCATGTTATAGTTGTTGTTGTTGCTGCTGCTCTTGTGATATCCGGCGTTCGTCTCCTCCTTGTTGTTGTTGTTGTTTCGCACGGACGTTACCTCACGGCTGATTGTTGAAGTGACATTGTTGTTGTTGTTGACTCCCTCGCCGGCCGGCATTCCCTGCCTTCCCGGCCGCTGGCGGCCCGAGACTCTTGGTTGGGACTTCCCTTGCAGCCCCTGCAGCTGAACGCGCCCGCCGCCCCGGCCCCGCAGCCCGCGGCCCCCGCCCGCCAGCACCGCGAGCACCGCGAGCACCGCGCCGCCATGGACCGCGCCGCGCGCTGCTGCGCGCCCACCGAGTGCCTGCGGGTGTTCACGGCCAACAACAACGGCAAGGACAGCGCGGTGGTGGACGACCTGCGCGAGGCGGTGCGCGTCATCTGCAACAACGACGCCTGCCCCTACGGCCAGTACATGCACCGCGAGTGCTTCGACCAGTTCGAGCAGGGCGTGCTCACGTACCTCAAGTCGTGCGGCCGGGCGCGCTCCTGGTCCGAGCGTCAGCGCCACCAGAACCTCTGGACCAAGAAGGGCTACGACCTGGCCTACAAGGCGTGCGGCTGCCGCTGCGGGCGCGGCCACCTGCGCAAGGACCTGGACTGGGTGGCGCCAGCGCAGCCCGCCAACGCTCGCGGCGGCGAGGAGGACTTTGGCGGCGCCGGCGGCAAGAAGAAGAAGCGCCGCAACAAGAACGCCAAGCCCGTCCTGTCGCTCACCAGCGGCGGCCACTACAACAAGAGCGACCCCAACAACAACACCGGCTTCGACATCCGCGGGCGCGCGGGCTCCCTGTCGTCCGGCTCCACCGGCTCCTCGTCGCCGCCCGCCGTCGGCTGCCCCGGCGGCCTGCAGCCTCCGGGCGCCGGCCCCACCACCAGCACCATGGGCGGGGCCTTCGGGGGCGCGCTGTTCCGCAGGAGGGGCCTCAACAAGAGCGAGTTCTTCTCCGACAGGTAAGTGAGAGAGAGTCCGCGTGGGCCGCGGTGTGGGCCGGCCCCGGGCCGCCGAGGGGCCTAGCTGCCTAGCTGAGCCGTCGCGGCGCCGACTTGTTGAGCGCCGCCGCCGCCGCCGCCGCCGCGCCTCCCCGTCTTGTCGATATTGTGGCGCCGCGCTGCTCCACGCCACGCCGCGCCCCCCGCCAGGGCCACGTCTGTTTGTCTGCCGGCAAGGGCGGAAATCGGCTCGACGCCAATCGTACAGCCAGGCAGGGCACGGCCCTGGCACGGCTTGGACATAA